CTCGTGCACATGCACAAGTATCATCAACACCGTAATTAGGATATGAGGCAGAATTAATAAGGAGCAAATGGGGGTCTTAATGGTACTTTGCTTAAATGTGTCTCTCAAAGCACATGTTGCTCCTCGTTAAATGGGGCCTGGAATCTGAGGTGTTCTTTAAAGTGTATCATCACTGAAGCAGTCCATTTTTGAGTTCAGAGGAAGAGATGGGGAGTATTCTACCCCCTCCCCCCCTGCCCCTCTCACCCAGGGGCGGATTTAGGGCGTCTTCTGGGTCTTCCGGAAGACGGTCAGATTTTCAAGTTTACATTGTCGGGCATCTAATGTTTTCTGTCAGAAGACGGTCAAAAATGGAGAATGGATCAACAAAGATAATTTGGAAGACTGTCAGAAAATATATCTGGATCCGCCCCTGCTCACCTAACATGCATCTCTCTCTCTCTCTCTCTCTCTCTCTCTCTCTCTCTCTCTCTGGTACTTGGTTTTTGACATCCCTTTCAGTCTTTCTCTCTCTCTCTCTCTGCAAATCTGATATGTTTTTAGTTTTACTTTGACTGGTAGAATGCCCAAATAAATAAATAAATAAATAACAGATCCTAGATGCGGATAGACATGAATTCAAACATTTTTCACCAAGATGCTACCATCCATGCAAAAAGCCATTTGAACGGTGAATACATATGATGTCCATGGCTTTGTACATGTGTTTGTTGGTGGATCATCAGCAATTAATTAACTTTTAACATTCTAGTCATGTTTTTCTTTGATCTCATAGGTTAATGGCCATGCGACATACAAGATTTGACATCTTTGACTGACACTGAACTCTTTAACCTATGATTACGGGTGAATTTAATGTTGTGTCCACACTTAGGAACCTAGTGATGGATGCAGTAGCCATTTTGTCATTTACAGTATTTAAACTAAAAAATGTTGACAATGAGTTAAAAGATGTACATTCTGATAGTGATAGGGAAATATTTTGATGGTAAATATATTGATGTTGTCATATCTGAGGACTGTAATGCAAAAATGTAATGCATCCGTGCACGGTCTTTGGAAAAATTATTTTGAATCATACTTAACATAATTGTGTTTTCACAAATAATTTTAAGACATTAGTGCATTGCTTTTCAAGCACTTACCAGATAATCACTGTGGCATCTTTTAAGATCAAGATAGAAAGTATCACAAGGTCTTACAGCAAATAAGAAAAGTTCATTAGAGAAGGGGTATCTTTAGTAGAGAAAAACAGAATTTTGATAGCCCTTTGGAAATACACTATAAGAATATTCTGAAGATATTATAATGACAATTGCATATTTAAGGGTTTTGTTGACACCATTTTGTTTGCACCAGTTGACCCATGCTTTGGCAGGTTGCCATGGTGACAGTGGTAATATTTGCTAATGCTCGCAATCAGAAATATATCCTTTGAAAGTATAACATGTACTGATGATAATTATATGACACAAATGTCTGTTACATCAGCACATTTATTTTACTTACATAATGAAATTTGCAGTTACTATGGTGACAGTGTTGACCAAGGTTAAAAATGTGCCAACTAGCCAGGGGTCAGTTG